GCCCTTGTTCTTGCAATTTTGCACATGCTAGACCCATTTTCTTTTTATTTTGCACAGGCTAGGCCCTTGTTCTTGCTATTTCGCGAACGCTAGGCCCTTGTTCTTGATCTTTTTGCACACGCTAGGTCCTTGCTCTTGCTATTTTGCACTCGCTAGGCCCTTGTTCTTGCGATTTTGCACACACTAGGCCCTTGTTCTTTTTATTTTGCACATGCTAGGCCCTTGTTCTTTTTATTTTGCATACGCTAGGCATCTGTTCTTGCTATTTTGCACACGCTATGCCCTTGTTCTTTTTTTTTTGCACACGCTAGGCCCTTGTTCTTACAATTTTGCACATGCTAGACCCTTGTTCTTCTTTTTTTGCACACGCTAGGCCCTTGTTGTTGCTATTTCGCGAATGCTAGGCTCTTGTTCTTGATTTTTTGCACACGCTAGGCCCTAGCTCTTGCTATTTTGCCCTCGCTAGGCCCTTGTTCTTGCAATTGTGCACACACTAGGCCCTTGTTCTTGCAATTTTGCACATGCTAGGCCCTTGTTCGTTTTATTTTGCACACGCTAGGCCCTTGCTCTTGCTATTTTGCACTCGCTAGGCCCTTGTTCATTTAATGTTGCACACGCTAGGCCCTTATTCTTTTTATTTTGCACACGCTATGCCCTTGTTCTTCTTATTTTGCACATGCTATGCCCTTGTCCTTTTTATTTTGCACACGCTAGGCCCTTGTTCTTGCTATTTCGCGAACGCTAGGCCCTTGTTCTTGATTTCTTGCACACGCTAGGCCCTTGCTCTTGCTATTTTGCACTCGCTAGGCCCTTGTTCTTGCAATTTTGCACACGCTAGGCCCTTGTTCTTGCAATTTTGCACACGCTAGGCCCTTGTTCTTGCAATTTTGCACACGCTAGGCCCTTGTTCTTGCAATTTTGCACACGCTAGGCCCTTGTTCTTCTTATTTTGCACACACTAGGCCATTGCTCTTGCTATTTCGTGAACGCTATGCCCTTGTTCTTTTTATTTTGCACACGCTATGCCCTTGTTCTTTTTATTTTGCGAACGCTAGGCCCTTGTTCTATTTATTTTGCACATGCTAGACCCTTGTTCTTTTTATTTTGCACACGCTAGGCCCTTGTTCTTGCAATTTTGCACATGCTAGACCCTTGTTCTTTTTATTCCGCACACGCGCGGCCCTTGCTCTTGCTATTTCGCGAAGGCTAGGCCCTTGTTCTTGATTTTTTGCACACGCTAGGCCCTTGCTCTTGCTATTTTGCACTCGCTTGGCCCTTGTTCTTGGAATTTTGCACACGCTAGGCCCTTGTTCTTGCAATTTTGCACACGCTAGGCCCTTGTTCTTTTTATTTTGCACACGCCAGGCCCTTGTTTGTTTTATTTTGCACACGCTATGCCCTTGTTCTTGCTATTTTGCACACGCCATGCCCTTGTTCTTTTTTTTTTGCACACGCTAGGCCCTTGTTGTTGCAGTTTTGCACATGCTAGACCCTTGTTCTTTTTATTTTGCACACGCTAGGCCCTTGTTCTTGCTATTTCGTGAATGCTATGCCCTTGTTCTTGATTTTTTGCACACGCTAGGCCCTAGCTCTTGCTATTTTGCACTCGCTAGGCCCTTGTTCTTGCAATTGTGCACACGCCTGGCCCTTGTTCTTGCAATTTTGCACACGCTAGGCCCTTGTTCTTTTTATTTTTCACACGCTAGGCCCTTGCTCTTGCTATTTTGCACTCGCTAGGCCCTTGTTCATTTAATTTTGCACTCGCTAGGCCCTTGTTCTTTTTATTTTGCACACGCTATGCCCTTGTTCTTTTTATTTTGCTCACGCTATGCCCTTGTTCTTTTTATTTTGCACACGCTAGACCCTTGTTCTTGCAATTTTGCACATGCTAGACCCTTGTTTTTTTTTATTTTGCACACGCTAGGCCTTTGTTCTTGCTATTTTGCGAACGCTAGGCCCTTGTTCTTGATTTCTTGCACACGCTAGGCCCTTGCTCTTGCTATTTTGCACTCGCTAGGCCCTTGTTCTTGCAATTTTGCACACGCTAAGCCCTTGTTCTTGCAATTTTGCACACGCTAGGCCCTTGTTCTTTTTATTTTGCACACACTAGGCCATTGCTCTTGCTATTTCGCGAACGCTAGGCCCTTGTTCTTTATTTTTTGCACACGCTAGGCCCTTGTTGTTGCTATTTTGCACTCGCTAGGCCCTTGTTCTTGCAATTATGCACACGCTAGGCCCTTGTTCTTTTAATTTTGCACACGCTAGGCCCTTGTTCTTTTTATTTTGCACACGCTAGGCCCTTGTTCTTTTCATTTTGCACACGCTATGCCCTTGTACTCTTGCCGGACACACAGGAGCGTTTTAGTGCACTTGCCGGACACCTTAGAGCATTGCAATGCTTTTGCCAGACACCCTGGAGCGTTGCAATGCTCTTGCCGGAGATCCCGGAGCGTTGCACTGCACTTGCCGGACACCCTGGAGCGTTACAATGCTCTTGCCAGACACCCTGGAGCATTGCAATGCTTTTGCCGGACACCCTGGAGCGTTGCAATGCTCTTGGTGGACACCCTCGAGCATTGCAATGCTCTTCCGAGACACACTAGAGCGTTGCAATGCTCTTGCCGGACACCGTGGAGCATTGCAATGCTCTTGCCGCCCACCCTGGAGCGTTGCAATGCTCTTGCCGACCACCCGAGAGCGTTGCAATGCTCTTGCCGGACACCCTAGAGCGTTGCAATGTTCTTGCCGGACACACTGGAGCGTTGCAATGCTATTGCCGACCACCCTGGAGCGTTGGAATGCTTTTGCCGGCCACCCTAGAGCGTTGCAAAGCTCTAGCCGGACACCTTGGAGCGTTGCAGTGCACTTGCCGGAAACCCCGGAGCGTTGCAATGCTCTTGCCGGACACCCAAGAGCGTTGCAGTGCTCTTGCCAGACACCCCATAGCGTTGCAGTGCATTTGCCGGACACCGCGTAGCGTTGCAATGCTCTAGCTGGACACCTCGGAGCGTTCTAGTGCACTTGCCGGGCACCCCTGAGCGTTGCAATGTTCATGCCAGACACCCTGGAGCGTTGCAATTCTCTTATCGGACACACCGGAGCGTTGGTGTGCTCTTGCCGGACACCCCGGAGCGTTGCAGTGCACTTGCCGGACACCCCAGAGCGTTGCACTGCTCTTGCCAAACACCCCTAAGTGTTGCAACGCTCTTGCCGGACACGCTAGAGCGTTGCAATGCTCTTGCTAAACACCCTGGAGCGTTGCAATGCTCTTGCCAGACACCTTGGATCGTTGCAAAGTGCTTGCCGGACACCCCGGGGCGCTGCAATGCTCTTGCCAAACCACCTTCGAGCGTTGCAATGCTCTTGCCGACCACCCAGGAGTGTTGAAATGCTCTTGCCGGACACCCCTGGAGCGTTGCAGTGCACTTGCTGGACACCTCGGAGCGTTGCACTGCTCTTGCCGGACACCCTGGAGTGTTGCAACGCTCTTGCTGGACACCCTAGAGCGTTGCAATGCTCTTGTTAGACACCCTCGAGCGTTGCAATGCTCTTGTCAGACACCCCGGATCGTTGCCAAGTGTTGGTGCAACCCTATGGTTTGCAGTCGGCTTGTTGTCCTTGTGCGTGCATGAGTGTGTGTATGGAATGGTATGAGGGCATGGGATAATATATATTTCATGCTTATAATAGTGTGTGAATGTTGAGTCATGATGTCGAGTGTGCGTGTTGAGTGAATAGCGAGTTATCGCTAGACGCGTGTCTCGCGCGTGGTTTCTATTTTGTCATGCACGGTTTCTATTTTGTCCTGTGTCGAACGTTCGGTGTGTCGCAGGTGTGTGCAGCAGACCCATCAAGAACTCAAAGATGAGTTTGTGATGAAGAGCCCGAGCCCTGGTGTCAACATTCAAGTAATCGCGAAGACCGCGAAAAAGGGTACACCTCAAGATATTGAAGTTAGTTACATTACTTTGTGTAGTGTAACATTTCACTTGGTGTAGGCCCTAGTGAAGGGTAGTTTCGAGACCCTTCGTAATTGGGGACAGTGTGGCACTGCTCCACATCACTGTAGCCCGGCTCTTGGGGTTTGTAGGAGCTGGGAGTCATTCCCAACTCGTAACTCTCCCTAACTCTTCCTATCTTGTGTTCTATGACTATAGTGGCTGCCATAGTGCCGTTCGTTCAAACCAATGCTGTGTCGTCAATACTTGGTCAAATCGTGCGATCTAAATTGCCTAGTGTAGGCGACTTTAAGACGCTCCAGATCCAAGTTGAATCAAGTCATTTGAAGTTGTGACCAGAAAAGTATGAACATTTGAATCCGCTGTGCAGAAATCCGACTGTGCACTCTATCTTTCGTTTTAGGCACATTGGAGCCTACTATGACTATAACAATTGGTATCAGAGCCCCTTGGAGCAGTTTCGACAATAGCTGGACATGAAGAAAGGGGTGGCAGAGGTGCTGGTGGCAGAGGAGAAGCCCAAGCTCAAGGCCAACCCCGTGACTAGAGTGTTTGGCGCCCGTGCAACCAAGTGTTGGCCCATCTAGGGATGAGCCTAGAGTGTTTGGCCTTGACAAGTTCAATGGTGACAACTTTGCTGAGTGGTCCTTCAGAATGGAGAACATATTAAACCACTATGACCTGCGTGAGGTGATGGAAGGAACGGAGAAGCGTCCCGAGAACGACCCGGAGAAGAGCCCGTGGGTGCGGAAGAGCGCACAAGGCTACCTCCTACTTGGGCAAGCGCTGGGGAGCAACCAAATCCGTCATATCAAGCCTTTCCAGCGTGAACCAGAAAAGGGACAAAAATCATGGGCTGCTCTCAAGGGTGTACACGCTCCTGCAACAGTGGCGGTAGCTGTGGTGTTCGAACGGCAAATGGCGACACTATGAATTGAAGAGGATGAAGCGGTTGAAGAAGGGGTGCAGAAATTCTTCAACTTGTTGACGCGGCTTGAGGGAGCGGATTTGAACTACACTGAGCTCCAAAAGAAGACCAAGTTACAGTTCCACGTCCACGTCCTCCACGTCCATGTCCACGTCCACGTCCACGTCCACGACCACGTCCACGTCCACGACCACGTCCACGTCCACGACCACGTCCACGTCCACGTCCACGTCCAAGTCCACGTCCACGTCCATGTCCACCTCCACGACCACGTCCACGTCCACGTCCACGTCCACGTCCACGTCCACATCCAGGTCTAGGTCCACGTCCACGACCACAACCACTTCCACGTCCACGACCACGTCCACGTCCACGTCCACGACCATGTCCACGTCCACGACCACGTCCACGTCCACGTCCAGGTCCACGTCCACGTCTACGTCCATGTCCACGTCCACGTCCACGTCCTCCACGTCTTCGTCCACGTCCTCGTCCTCATCCACGTCCACCTCCACGTCCATGTCCACGTCCACGTCCACGTCCACATGCACGTTCACGTCCAGGTCCAGGTCCACGTCCACGACCACGTCCATGTCCACGTCCACGTCCACGACCACGTCCACATCCACGTCCACGTCCAAGTCCACGTCCACGTCCAGGTCTAGGTGCACGTCCACGTCCACGACCACGTCCACGTCCACGACCACGTCTACGTCCACGTCCACGTCCACGACCACGTCCACGTCCACGACCACGTCCACGTCCATGACCATGTCCACGTCCACGTCCAAGTCCAGGTCCACGTCCACGTCCACGTCCACGTCCAGGTCCAGGTCCACATCCACGTCCACGTCGTCCACCTCTTCGTCCACGTCCTCGTCCACATCCACGTCCACCTTCACGTCCACGTCCACGTCCACGTCCACGTCCTCCACGTCGTCATCTACGTCCTCCACGTCCACGTCCACGTCCACGACCACGTCCACGTCCACGACCACGTCCACGTCCACGTCCACGTCCACGACCACGACCACGTCCACGTCCACGTCCACGACCACGTCCACGTCCACGTCCACGACCACGTTGATGTCCACGTCCACGACCACGTCCACATCCACGCCCACGTTCACGTCCACGTCCACGACCACGTCCACGTCCACATCAACGTCCACGTCCACGTCCTCCACGTCCACATCCACGTCCTTCACATCCACGTCCTCCACGTCCACGTCCACCTTCAATGCTCTTTCTAGACACCCTGGAGGGTTGTAGTGCTCTTGACGAACACCCCGGATTGTTACAATGCTCTTGCCGGCCACCCTGAAGCATTGCAATGCTCTTGCCGGACACCCCAGAGCATTGCAGTGCACTTGGCGGACACCCCTGAGCATTGCAATGCTCTTGGCAGACACTCTGGATCGTTGCAATGCTCTTGCCGACCTCCCTGGAGCGTTGCAAAGCTCTTGCCAGACATCATGGAGCGTTGCAATGCTCTTGCTGGACACCCCGGAGCGTTGCAATGCACTTGTCGGACACCCCAAAGAGTTGCAATGCTCTTACAAGACACCGTGGAGCGTTGCAATGCTCTTCGCGGACACCATGGAGCATTTCAATGCCCTTGCCTAACACCCTGGAGCGTTGCAATGCTCTTGCGGGACACCACGGAGCGTTGAAGTGATCTTGCCGGACACCGTGGAGTGTTGCAAGGCTCTTGCCGGACACCCCAGAGCGTTGCAATGCTCTTGCCAGACACCCCAGAGCGTTGCAATGCACTTGACGGACACCTTGGAGCGTTGCAATGCTCTTGCTGGACACCCTGGAGCATTGCAATGGTCTTGCCAGACACCCTGTAGCATTGAAATGCACTTGCATTGGAGTATTGCAATGCTCTTGGCAAACACCTTGGATCGTTGCAATGGTCTTGCCGGACACCCTGGAGCGTTGCAGTGCTCTTACTTGACAACCCGCAGTGTTGCAGTGCACTTTGAGACACCTCGGAGTGTTGTAATGCTTTTGCCGGACACCCTGGAGCGTTGCAATAATCTTGCCAGACACCCGGAGCGTTGCAATGATCTTTCCGGACACCCAGGAGGGTTGCACTGCTCTTAACGGACGCCCCGGAACGTTACAATGCTCTTGCCGGCCACCGTGAAGCATTGCAATGCTCTTGCCGGACACCCCAGAGCATTGCAGTGCACTTGGCGGACACCCCGGAGCGTTGCAATGCTCTTGGTAGACACCCTGGATCGTTGCAATGCTCTTGCCGACCTCCTTGGAGCATTGCAATGCTCTTCCCGAACACCTTGGAGCGTTGCAATGCTCTTGTTGGACACCCCAGAGCGTTGCAATGCACTTGCCGGACACACCAAAGAGTTGCAATGCTCTTACAGGACACCTTGGAGTGTTGCAATGCCCTTCGCGGACACCATGGAGCGTTGCAATGCTCTTGCCTGACCTCCTGGAGCGTTGCAATGCTCTTGCGGGACACCACGGAGCGTTGCAGTGTTCTTGGACATGGACCTGGACGTGGACGTGGATGTGGACGTGGACGTGGACTTGGACTTGTACGTGGACGTGGTCGTGGATGTGGACGTGGACGTGGACCTGTACGTGGACGTGTACGTGGACGTGGACGTGGTTTTGGACGTGGACGTGGACGTGAACTTGGACGTGGACGTCGACGTGGACATGGACGTGGATGTGGACTTGGACGGGATCTTGGACATGGACGTGGATGTGGACGTGGACGTGGACGTGAACTTGGACGTGGACGTGGATGTGGATGTGGACTTGGACGGGATCTTGGACGTGGACGTGGACGTGGACTTGGACGTGGGCTTGGACGTGGACGTGGACGTGGATTTTGAGATGGACGTGGTCGTGGACGTGGACGTGGTTGTGGACGTGCACATGAACGCGGACCTGGACGTGGACGTGGACATGGACGTGGGCTTGTACGTGGACGTGGTCGTGGACGTGGACGTGGTCGTGGACGTACACGTGGACGCGGACCTGGACGTGGACGTGGACTTGGACGTGGGCTTGGACATGGACGTGGACGTGGATTTGGAGTTGGACGTGGTCGTGGACGTGGACGTGGTTGTGGACGTGCACATGGACGCGGACCTTGACGTGGACGTGGACGTGGACGTGGACGTGGGCTTGTACGTGGACGTGGTCGTGGACGTGGACGTGGTCGTGGACGTACACGTGGACGCGGACCAGGACGTGGACGTGGACTTGGACGTGGGCTTGGACGTGGACGTGGACGTAGACGTGGATTTGGAGTTGGACGTGGTCGTGGACGTGGACGTGGTTGTGGACGTGCACATGGACGCGGACCTGGACGTGGACGTGGACGTGGACGTGGACATGGACGTGGGCTTGTACGTGGACGTGCTCATGGACGTGGACGTGGTCGTGGACGTACACGTGGACGCGGACCTGGACGTGGACGTGGACGTGGACGTGGACTTGGACTTGGACGTGGACGTGGACGTGGACGTGGACTTGGACGTGGACTTGGACGTGCACTTGGACGTGGACGTGGTCTTGGACGTGGACTTGGACGTGGACATGGACGTGTACGTGGACTTGGTCGTGGACGTGGACGTGGACTTGGACGTGGACGTGGACAAGGACTTGGACTTGGACTTGGACTTGTACGTGGACGTGGTCGTGGACGTGGACGTGGTCGTGGACGTGCACGTGGACGTGGACGTGGACGTGGACTTGGACGTGGACCTGGACGTGGACGTGGACGTGGACTTGGACTTGTACGTGGACGTGGTCGTGGACGTGGACGTGGACCTGTACGTGGACGTGTACGTGGACGTGGACGTGGTCGTCGACGTGGACGTGGACGTGAACTTGGACGTGGACGTGGACGTGGATGTGAACTTGGACGTGATCGTGGACGTGGACGTTGACTTGGACATGGACGTGGACGTGGACGTGGACGTGGACTTGGACGTGGACTTGGACGTGGACATGGACGTGGACGTGGACTTGGACGTGGACTTGGACGTGGACTTGGACATGGACGTTGACGTGGACGTGGATGTGGACTTGGACTTGTACGTGGACGTGGTCGTGGACGTGGACGTGGTCGTGGACGTGCATGTGGACGTGGACGTGGACGTGGACTTGGACATGGACCTGGACGTGGACGTGGACGTGGACGTGGACTTGGACTTGGACTTGTACGTGGACGTTGTCGTGGATGTGGACGTGGACGTGGACCTGTACGTGGACGTGTACGTGGACGTGGATGTGGTCGTGGACGTGGACGTGGACGTGAACTTGGACGTGGACGTGGACGTGGATGTGGATGTGGACTTGGACGGGATCTTGGACATGGACGTGGACGTGGACGTGGACGTCAACGTGGAACTGGACGTGGATGTGGACCTGGACGTGGACATGGACGTGGACGTGGACGTGGTCGTGGACGTGGACGTGGAGTTGGACGTGGACGTGGACGTGGACCTGAACCTGGACGTGGACGTGGACGTGGACGTGGACCTGGACATGGACCTGGACGTGGTCGTGGACGTGGACGTGGATGTGGTCGTGGACGTGGTCGTGGACGTGGTCGTGGACGTGGTCGTGGACGTGGACGTGGTCGTGGAGGTTGACGTGGACGTGGTCGTGGACGTGGACGTGGACTTGGATGTGGACATGGACGTGGATGTGGACGTGGACCAAGACATGGACGTGGACGTGGACCTAGACGTGGACGTGGACGTGAACATGGACGTGGACCTGGACGTGGACGTGGATGTGGACGTGGACATGGACGTGGTTGTGGACGTTGACGTGGACGTGGACGTGGTCGTGGACGTGGACGTGGACCTGGACCTGGAACTGGACGTGGACGTGGACTTGGACGTGGACATGGACGTGGACGTGGATATGGTCGTGGACGTGGACGTGGACCTGGATGTGATCGTGGACATGGACCTGGACGTGATCGTGGACGTGGACGTCGACTTGGACGTGGACGTGGACGTGGACGTGGACTTGGACTTGTACGTGGACGTGGTCGTGGACGTGGACGTGGTTGTGGACGTGCACGTGGACGTGGACGTGGACTTGGACGTGGACATGGACGTGGACGTGGACGTGGACGTGGACGTGGTCGTGGACGTGGTCGTGGACGTGGACGTGCACGTGGACGTGGACGTGGACTTGGACGTGGACATGGACGTGGACGTGGACGTGGACCTGGATGTGGACGTGGACGTGGACCTGGACGTGGACGTGGACGTGAACGTGGACGTGGACGTGGACTTGGACGTGGACGTGGACGTGGACTTGGACGTAGACATGGATGTCAACGTGGACCTTAACGTGGACGTGGACGTGGACGTGGACATGGACGAGGACGTGAACGTGGACGTGGACGTTGTCGTGGACGTGGACGTGGACGTGGAGTTGGACGTGGACGTGGACGTGGATGTGAACCTGGACGTGGACATGGACCAGGACGTGGACGTGGAGGTGGACGTGGACGTGGTCGTGGACGTGGACGTCGACGTGGACGTGGTCGTGGACGTGGACGTGGACGTGGACGGGGTCGTGGACGTGGACGTGGACGTGGATGTGGACCTGGACGTGGACGTGGAAGTGGACTTGGACGTGGACGTGAACGTGGAGGTGGACCTGGACGTCGACGTCGACGTCGACGTGGTCGTGTACGTGGACACGGATGTGGTCGTCCATGACGTGGACTTGGACGTGGACGTGGTCGTGGACGTGGACGTGGTCGTGGACGTGGAAGTGGACGTGGTCGTGGACGTGGACATGGACGTGGTCATGGACATGGACGTGGACGTGGACGTGGAATTGGACGTGGACATGGACGTGGACGTGGACGGGGACCTGGACGTGGACGTGGACGTGGACCTGGACGTGGACGTGGACGTGAATGTGGACGTGGACATGGACATGGACGTGGACTTGGACGTGGACGTGGACATGGACGTGGACTTGGACGTGGACGTGGACGTCAACGTGGACCTGGACGTGGACGTGCAACACTCGAGGGTGTCCCGCAAGAGCATTGCAACACTTCGGGGTGTGGGTAAGAGCAGTGCAACGGTCCGAGGTGTCCGGCAAGCACTTTGCAACGATCCGCGGTGTCCGGCAAAAGCATTGCAGCGCTCCGGGGTGTCCGGCAGGAGCATTGCAACGCTCAGGGGTGTCCTGCAAGTGCACTGTAACGCTCATGGGTTTCTGGCAAGTGCACTGCAACGCTCGAGGGTGTCTTGCAAGAGCATTGCAATGCTCCGAGGTGTCCGGCAAGTGCACTGCAACGCTACAGGGTGTCCGGCAAGAGCATTGCAACGCTACGGGGTGTTCGACAAATGCACAGCAACGCTCCGGGGTGTCCGGCAAGAGCACTGCAACGCTCCAGGGTGTCCGTCAAGAGCATTGCAACGTACCAGGGTGTCCGCTAAGAGCATTGCAACGCTCCAGGGTGTAGGGCAAGTGCACTGCAACGCTCTGGGATGTCCGCCAAGAGAATTGCAACGCTCGAGGGTCTCCGGCAAGAGCATTGCAACGCTCCTGGGTGTCCGGCAAGAGCATTGCAACGCTCCAGGCTTTCCGGCAAGTGCAGTGTAACGCTCCAGGGTGTCGGGCTAGAGCTTTGCAACGCTCTAGGGTGGCCGACAAGAGCATTGCAACGCTCCAGGGTGGTCGGCAAGAGCATTGCAACGCTCCGGGGTCTCAGGCAAGAGCAGTGCAACGCTCCCGGGTGGTCGGCAAGAGCATTGCAACGCTCCACGATTGTCGGCAAGAGCATTGCAGCGCTCCAAGGTGTCCAGCAAGGGCCTTGCAATGCTCCAGGGTGTTTGGGAGGAGCATTGTGACGCTCCGGGGTGTCCGGCAAGAGTATTGCAACGCTAAAGGGTGTCCGTCAAGAGAATTGCAACGCTCCGGGGTGTCCGGGAAGAGCATTGCAATGCTCCAGGGTGTCCAGCAAGCGCAATGCAACGCTCCTCGGTGTCCGGCAAGTGCATTGCAACGCTCCGGGGTGTCCGGCAAGAGCACAGCAACGCTCCGGGGTGTCCAGCAAGAGAATTGCAACGTTCCAGAGTGTCTGCCAAGAGAATTGCAACGCTCAGGGGTGTCCGGCAAGTGCACTGCAACACTCCGGGGTGTCCTGCTAGAGCATTGGAATGTCCAGGGTGTCCGGCAATTGCAACGCTCCAGGGTGTCCGGCAAGAGCATTGCAACGCTACGGGGTGTCCGGCAAATGCACTGCAATGCTCCGGGGTGTTCGGCAAGAGCACTGCAATGCTCCGGGGTGTCCGGCAAGAGCGTTGCAACGTACTAGGGTGTCCGCCAAGAGCATTGCAATGCTCCTGGGTGTCTGGCAAGTGATTTGCAACGCTCCAGGGTGTCCGACAAGAGCATTGCAACGCTCCATGGTGTCCAGCAAGAGCATTGCTTCGCTCCAGGGTTTCTGGCAAGTGCAGTGCAACGCTCCAGGGTGTCCGGCTAGAGCTTTGCAACGCTCTAGGGTGGCCGGCAAGAGCATTGCAACCCTCCAGGGTGGTCGGCAAGAGCATTGCAATGCTCCAGGGTTGCCGGCAAGAGCATTGCAACGCTCCAAGGTGGTAAGCAAGTGCATTGCAACGCTCTAGGGTGTCCGGCAAGTGCGCTGCAACACATCAGGGTGTCCACCAAGAGCACTACAATAATCTAGGGTGTCAAGCAAGAGCATTGCAATGCTCCAAGGTGGCCGCCAAGAGCACTGCAACGCTTTGGGGTGTTCGGCAGCTGCACTGCAACGCTCCAGGGTGCCTTGCAATGCACTTGCCGGACACCTCGGAGCATTGCAATGCCTTTGCCGGACACCCTGGAGCGTTGCAATGCTCTTGCCGGACATCCAAGAGCTTTGCATTGCACTTGCCGGACACCCTGGAGTGTTGCAAGGCTCTTGCCAGACACCCCGATGCGTTGCAATGCTCTTGTTGGACACCACGGAGCGTTGCAATGCACTTGCAGGACACCCCAGAGCGTTGCAATGCTCTTGGTGGACACCGTGGAGCGTTGCAATGGTCTTGCCTGACACCCTGTAGCATTGCAATGCTCTTGCCGGACACCTCAGAGCGTTGCATTGCACTTGCCGGACACCTTGGAGTGTTGCAATGCTCTTGGCAAACACCCTTGATCGTTGCAATGCTCTTGCCGGACACTTTGGAGCGTTGCAGTGCTCTTGCCGAACACCCCAGAGCGTGGCAGTGCACTTGCCGGACACCTCGGAGCGTTGCAATGCTTTTGCCGGACACCCTGAAGCGTTGCAATGCTCTTGCCGGACACCCCAGAGCGTTGCACTGCAGTTGCCGGACACCCTGGAGCGTTGCAATGCTCTTGCCGGACACCATGCAGCATTGCAATGCTCTTACCGGACACCTTGGAGCGTTGCAATGCTCTTGCTGAACACCCTGGAGCGTTGCAATGCTCTTGCCGGACACCCCGGAGCGTTGCAATGCTCTTGTCGGACACCTTGGAGCGTTGCAAGGCTCTTGCCGGACACCTTGGAGCGCTGCAATGCTCTTGCCGACCACCCTCGAGTGTTGCAATGCTCTTGCCAACCACCCGAGAGCGTTGCAATGCTCTTGCCGGACACCCTGGAGCGTTTCAATGTTCTTGCCGGACACCGTGGAATGTTGCAAGGCTCTTGTCGGACACCCCGAAGCGTTGCAATGCTCTGGCCAGACACCTCGAAGCGTTGCAATGCACTTGCCGGACACCCCGGAGCGTTGCAATGGTCTTGCTCGACACCCTAGAGCGTTGCAATGGTCTTGCGAGGCACCCTGTAGCATTGCAATGCTCTTGCCGGACACCCCGGAGCGTCGCATTGCACTTGGCGGACACCCCTGTAGCGTTGCAATGCTCTTGGCAAACACACTGGATCGTTGCAATGCTCTTGGCGGACACCCAGGAGCGTTGGAGTGCCCTTGCCGGACACTTTAGAGCGTTGCAGTGCACTTGCCAGACACCTCGGAGCATTGCAATGCTTTTACCGGACACCCTGGAGCGTTGCAATGCTCTTGGTGGACATCCAAGAGCGTTGCACTGCACTTACCAGACACCCTGGAGCATTACAATGCTCTTGCCGGACTCCTTGGAGCGTTGCAATGCTCTTGCCGGACACCCCAGAGCATTGCAATGCTCTTGCCGGACACCCTCGAGCATGGCAATGCTCTTACCATACACCCCAGAGCGTTGCAATGCTCTTGCCGGACACCGTGTAGCATTGCAATGCTCTTGCCGGACACCCGGGAGCGTTGCATTGCACTTGCCGGACACCTTGGAGTGTTGCAATGCTCTTGGCAAACACCTTGGATCGTTGCAATGCTCTTGCCAGACACCTTGGAGCGTTGCAGTGCTCTTGCCGGACACCCCAAAGCACTGCAGTGCACTTGCCAGACACCTCGGAAAGTTGCAATGCTTTTACCGAACACCCTGGAGCGTTGCAATGCTATTGCCGGACACCTTGGAGCGTTGCAGTGCTCTTGCCGGACAACCAAGAGCGTTTCACTGCACTTGTCGGACACCTTGGAGCATTACAATGCGCTTGCCGGACACCCTCGAGGGTTGCAATGCTCTTGCCGGACACCCCGGAGCGTTGCAATGCTCTTGCTAGACACCCTGGAGCATTGCAATGCTCTTGCCAGACACACTGGAGCATGGCATTGCTCTTGCCGAACACCCTGGAGTGTTGCAATGCTCTTTCTGGACACCCCGGAGCGTTGTAATGCTTTTGCTGGACACCTTGGAGCGTTGCAATGCTCTTGCGAGACACCCTGTAGCATTGCAATGCTCTTGCTGGACACCCCGGAGCGTTGCATTGCACTTGCCGGACACCCCGGAGCGTTGCAGTGCACTTGCCGGACACCTTGGAGCGTTGCAATGGTCTTGGCAAAAACCCTGGATCGTTGCAATGCTCTTGCCGGACACCCTGGAGCGTTGTAGTGCTCTTACCGGACACCCCGGAGCGTTGCAGTGCACTTGCCGGACACCTTGGAGCGTTGCAATGCTTTTCCCGGACACCCAGGAGCGTTGCAATGCTGTTGTCGGACACTCCAGAGCTTTGCACTGCACTTGCCGGACACCCTTGAGCGTTGCAATGGTCTTGCGAGACACCCAATAGTGTTGCAATGCTCTTCCCGAACACCCTAGAGTGTTGCATAGCACTTGTCAGACACCTTGGAGCGTTGCAATGCTCTTGGCAAACACCATTGATCGTTGCAATGCTCTTGCCAGACACCCACAAGCGTTGCAGAGCTCTTGCCGGACACCTCGGAGCATTGCAATGCTTTTGCCGGACACCCTAGAGCGTTGCAATGCACTTGCCGGACATCCCAGAGCGTTGCACTGCACTTGCTGGACAACGTGGAGTGTTACAATACTCTTGCGGGACACCCTTGAGCGTGGTAATGCTCTTGCCGGACACCCCGTAGCGTTGCAATGCCCTTAGTAGACACCGTAGAGCATTGCAATGCTCTTGTCGGATACGCTGAGCGTTGCAATGCTCTTGCCGAACACCCTGGAGCGCTGCAATGCTCTTGCCGACCACCCTGGAGCATTGCAATGCTCTTGCCGACCACTCGAGAGCGTTGCAATGCTCTTGCCAGACACCCCGGAGCGTTGCAATGCTCTTGCTGGACACCCTGGAACGTTGCAATGGTCTTGCTAGACACCCTGTAGCATTGCAATGCTCTTACCGGACACCCCGTAGCGTTGCATTGCACATGCCGGACACCATGGAGCGTTGCAATGCTCTTGGCAAAAACCCAGGATCGCTGCAATGCTCTTGCCTGACACCCTGGAGCGTTGCAGTGCTGTTGCCAGACACCCTAGAGAAGTGCACTTGCCGGACACCTCAGAGCGTTGCAATGCTTTTGCCGGACACCCTGGAGCATTGCAATGCTCTTGCCGGACATCCGAGAGCGTTGCACTGCACTTGCCGGACACCCTGGAGCGTTACAATGCTCTTGGCGGACACCCTCTGGCGTTGCAATGCTCTCGCTAGACACCCCGGAGAGTTGCAATGCTTATGCTGGACACCTTGGGGCATTGCAATGCTCATCCTGGACACCCTAGAGCGTTGCAATGCTCTTGCCAAACACACTGGAGTGTTGCAATGCTCTTACCCGACACCCCGGAGCGTTGCAAGGCTCTTGCCGGACACCCTGGAGCTCTGCAATGCTCTTGCCGACCACCTTGAAGAGTTGCAATGCTCTTGCTGACCACCCGAGAGCGTTGCAATGCTCTTGCCGGACACCCCGGAGCGATGCTATGTTCTTGCCGGACATCCCGGAGCATTGCAATGCACTTGCTGGACACCCCGGAGCATTGCAATGCTCTTGCTGGACACTCTGGAGCGTTGCAATGGTCTTGCTAGACACCTTGTAGCATTGCAATGATCTTGCCGGACACCTCGGAGCGTTGCATTGCACTTGCCGGACACCCCGGAGCGTTGCAATGCTCTTGCTGGACACCCTAGAGCATTGCAATGCTCTTGCTTGACACACTAGAGCGTTGAAATGCTCTTGCTGAACACCCTAGAGCGTTGCAATGCTCTTGTCGGACACCCCGGAGCGTCGCAA